GCTGGTGGTAAGTGCCAGCCCCCAGCACGCCAGCCCCAGGCACGTGTCACGGGTTCTCCGCGTCCTCCCACCGCCGTCCTTGCTGCCGTCCTCAAGCTGTGCCCTCCTGTCCCCACGCTGGCCAAATGGCACAGGCCGTGCCGAGAGCTCTGGCTGCCCTCCCGGCCCTGGTGCAGCCCCTCTTCTTTCCAGGACCCCAGCGCCAAGATCGGGGCAAACTGCGTCATTGGCCCCAACGTGACAATTGGGGCCGGCGTGGTGGTGGAGGACGGGGTGCGCATCAAACGCTGCACTGTGCTGAAGGGGGCCCGCATCCGTTCCCACTCCTGGCTGGAGTCCTGCATCGTGGGCTGGAGCTGCTCCGTGGGACAGTGGGTGAGGATGTGGGTGCCCCTGTGGGGGATCGAGGCTCAGCTCTTGCCCTCCTGACTCCTCGGGCTGCAGCCGAAGGGATGGAGGGATGCACCAGCGCCCGCGGGCAGGAGTGTGGCACTGAGCCCCGAGCTGGGGCAGGCGTGACGGGGCCTCTCTGGGGCAGGTGCGCATGGAGAATGTGACAGTGCTGGGCGAGGATGTCATTGTCAACGACGAGCTCTACCTCAATGGGGCCAACGTGCTGCCACACAAGTCCATCGCCGAGTCCGTGCCAGAGCCGCGCATCATCATGTAGCAGCCCCTGGTGGGCCCTGCACTCCCAGCTCTGCTTGGATTAAATATTTATATTTCCATCTACCGCTGAGTGTCATCTGAGCATGGCCCGAGAGCTGGGTCACTTGCCAGGGCTGGCCTGGCTTCCCCTCCCCGTGTCTCAGGGCACCACATAAGGAAGAATAATTTAATGCTGCATTTCATGAAGTCAGCCCCCAGCCAGGGGCAAGTTAACAGCCCGAACACCCAGCCCGGCCCCCTTGCCCCTGTGTTGGGGCTGCCGCATGTCCCCAGGGCTGCCGCAGAGCTGAGGCCTTGGGCACCCCTCCCTGAGAATGGCCCGCAGGGCAGAGGGACTGCCATGGCCCAGGCGCTGGGTGAGAGGGACGCTGACCCCAGAACCTGGCATCGGGCCTCCCCCCCACCGGCCCCTCCCTCCCTGCAGCCCCATGCCCCATACTGCGGCCCCGTGCTGGGTCC